CTGTAAAAATTACAGCTTTGGTTTCGAGCGATTTTCGATGGTGAAAATGGCTTGGATATTCATCTTTGTCAGTTAAAGACATGCATCTTTGTGCCTAATGGTGATGTGTTCCTTTTAGTAATTTTGCCCTAGGTGAATAACGTGGTCCATAGTACATGCAATTTTTACAATATGGGACTGACAACTAATGTTTGATGATTTGGAGACCTTTATATTTAATCTGCTTTAATACGTTTTTTCTAAAATATAATTTTGCTAAATCTCAAGAGGGAAAAAATCAACTCAATTTTTTGCATGGCCACTTACTCCATGATAAAAATAATGAGTGTAAAGTTATCAGCATTAATTTTTAGTTGATCCGCAATGGCCCGGAATAAAGAAATATGATTTTCTATGAATTTTGGTAAAGGCTGCTCCGTTTATTTCGCTCCTGGTATGACGTTGCTGACTTTAAAAATTGTTTAAAATTTGACGAAAAATCGCAAGGATTTAGGTCTAGCGACTTTGGTGGCAAAGCCAACGACCATTTTGGCTTATGCAACTACGCTGAAAATATTTTCTCAGAAAATCCAGCACCTCCTTTGGAAAATGGACTGCAATAAATAATGCTTCAAATGTGAAAAAAATATGAAGATTAAAATTGCTTTTTATGTATTGCATGGAGATTATTAACTCCCACGCACTTCGGGAGAAAGTTGCTGCTTCACTAACAAGAATGTTTTTCAAACATGCTTATTATGTTCGTGCAAAACTGTTCATAAAATTCAATTCTACGAGCAAACTGCAGGGCGCAGTGCCTTGATGTGTGGAAGATGAAAATTAAACAACTGGCTTTCAAGCCATTTTGTTCTTACTTTTTTTGACTTAATCCGAGCGCATTTGCAAAGACTCGAATACTTCAACGACATTTAAAATTTGTTGCCCTCTTTGCACACTTCCAGATTTTCTGCGACTTCCTCCTCGTCATTGACTATATTCCCACAAATAATCAGCATTTCCAGATCGTTGAACAACATTAATTTACCTTCCCGGTGTCGGATGAGTTCGCAAAATAATATCTTTTCCTTACACCCTAGACGCTGGTGCTGGGCTTTGGTGACCCTGCCCGTTAGTAAACAACATATCCATTTATTTGCATACTAATTTGTCAATTTAAAGTTTCTTTTATCTCAATTTTCTGACGTGAAACTCACGAAGTGATCTAGAACGTATGTTCGCAAATAAATTCCGGGAAAATAAATAAGCACTATTTTGTGCTCTAAATAGGTAAAATCATACTAAAGGTAGGAAATTCATGTGCAGGCAGCAGTTCAAAATTTGATTTCAACATTTTGTTGGCTTGTTTTGTAATTAATTAAGTTTAAAGTAACAGGTGAGTAAGATGAAAACGTCATTATCAAATTATTTGCACACATTTCGACCTTTATTGGGGTCTTCCAGGCTCAAATTATGCGTGAACGTTATGCCTAAGTAGATTCATTATAGTGATTGCATCTCCATGGCAAATCACTAGTTATATTTAAATTCGTACTGTGCAGAGTTTACCGGAACAAACCTTTTTAAATTTAATGTGTAACTTTCCCATTTTTAAGATTTTGTAAATGAACTCACTCCGAAACGGTGTTCACTGAAAGTGAACACAGTCTCCTACAATAAATCGTAGAATACCTCAATCAACTGCGATTAACATCTAAAAAGACCATTTATTTCTCAGAAGCTCGCAAGCGTTAGGGTTAGAAATTATTAGCACTTTTGAAGGAAAAGTTTCCGAGTTTCCTCTTGGAAATCCCGTTGGAAAATCTCAGAGCATCTCTACATTATGGCGGACAACTGAAAGCATTTTTAAATTTTCTGGCTCGTGGGTAGTGTGCAGTGGTCCTACATTGGACACCTAGAGCACCCGACTTGTCACATTTCAAGTACATACTTTTATGTGGAATCGCCTAAAAACCGGCGGGGGCCCCATTGGAACGCCAGAAACTGGAGATTATTTAATAAATCGTATAATTGCCGCTAAAAAGTATTTGCGTCTGCAGCCTATTGAAATTCCGTCACTGAATTTCATTAATCGCATTCCATGGTGCAACGATGGTTGCATCTATATGAAACGGCGTTCCTCACTTTGAACAACTTCCGTAATTTTAATTATGTGTTTGTTGCTTTTAATTCCGAATCGAGCTACAACTGAAATTAACTATTTGATCAGAATTATCCCCAGAACAACTGCAATCACTTTGTCGAGTTACCAAACACCCTGTATGTAGTTAAAAAAAACCCAAGCAATCACCGTGCATCTGATCGCAATGATACCGCAGATTGTATTTTTGTGTACAATGCTTGCTGCATGTATGTTGATACAATCTTCTTCCGAATTTACTTGACGTTGAAACTGTTTTCAGAAGCGTTCACACAAATCGTATTTTGATTGAGTCACTATTTCAATACCACAACCAAAGCCCGAAAAAGATTAGTAGTTCTATATTTCTGCGGCAAGAAAGCACATAAACCAACCACGTATTTCCAGAAAAAAACAACATTTCCAGCATATCTGATTTATGCCCCAATAAAATTGCCACAAAAGCGGCGAACAGAATGTGAAAATCGAGCAACTGAAACGTAATAAGTTTTTCGTTATTGGCGAAAATGATGTGTCTGGTGGCCATACACGCTTTTCAGTGCTCGCTTTATTGAAAGAATGAATCGGAGTGCATATGGGTTTTGTTGTAGAAGGATATTTTCCGATTGTCGCCTAACTAGTTTAATTGAATATAACAGAAATAAAGAACCATATGTTTAAGGGATGGAAGTTCCTACATGAATCCTTAAAAGTCAGAGCATTAAAACAATAAGAATTTTGTACCCACTCTCAAATTATTTATTCTCATTAATCACTATTGGCGGCTCGAAACAGTACTGACTTTTTATAATTTCAATTGATCTTTCTATTACAAGAAATTTTTATTCCTTGTCAACTTCCTTTGTTATATTGTCATACTTAGTGCAATTCCTATGTTTAACTCAATTCAAAACTGCAAAATAAAACGTAGGTACTGAGTACGCAAAAAGTTGGGTAAATAAAGGTGCATCGCAGATTTGCATAAGTTTGTTTTAAGGTCGATGACCAATTAAACAACAAATACCCTGACGCATTATTTAATGATCAAGTTTCCAGTCCACTTAAGCAACTTTTAAACAAACAGCCATCCGAATATGCAAAACGATCTTACATTTATTACACTTTAAATTAGTTTGTCAGCATTTCGACCGCGGTAAACCATAACAGTTTTTGCCGTATGTGAACCAAATAAACTAATGATATTATTCGAAATGCATCTTGACGAGTCTGTTATTAAATTTTAGTTTTTTGGAGTTCATATTTAAACAGCCCAAGGTCAGCTATTTATCAAAACAAGCTCACGCTTTAAACGTTGTTGTTTTCAAAATACTTAATTACCATTCATGCTTAATTGCTTAATGTGATGATGTCAGCCATTTTATTAATTAGTTTAAAAAAATGCGTTTGTTCTATTGCATATTCCGCTTTTTAACCTTCCGCTAACTAGGTACAATTTTTTCGATAATGTGCCCTACCTACTTTAACGGTGTCTTTAGGGTAAATATTAATAAATATTAAACTACTAAATAGATTTACTGACGATAGGTATATTTCGTAAATTTTTTCATGCAATTGAACTATAAGTGAAATAGACGAGTTAATTACCACCATTTAAATAAACATAAATCTAAAATGTAAAAGTGTGAATAGTGATGGAGAGTTTTCAGTTAGAATTGTACATGGTGTCGGGAATTATTCGAAGCAACATAATTGCTAACAGTATCTTAGAGGAACTTTCATATACATATTATAACTACGAAACGAGCTCATATTTTAAACCCAATATATACGCATATTATGTAAACTCAGTGGGTTAAAAATACGAAAATTCTTTAAAAAAAATTCTCTGCGCTCCTCTCCTCTCCTCCTCCTCTTTAAAGGATCCCCATGAAAATCGATTTTTTTTTAATAACTTTTAGAATACTTAGAATTATTTTTTATACAATGAACAGTATATCAATGCTCTTAAACGGACCCATGAAACCATTATTAGCATTTCGGTTTGCCAGGGATGGACTAGGTGGAGCACAATAATAGTTTTTTACCCTTTACAATGAAGGCACGAAAATAATGTATCAAGGTACCTTTAACCTTAAACTAAAAAAAAAAATATGCTTTTGGTTCAAAAAGTACGGCGTTCGAGGATTTTTTTATTGAATACTGATTTACTGAACAATTTGGTATGTAGGCACACGAACTCCTTCCAATCTTATGCACTCCCTAGCTCAACGAATTGTAGATTGTTGCATTCTCCATAATGCTTGAACATTGATTCTTATTTGGCCGCAATGAAAATTAATGCTTTCTAATAAGTTTTCCCTAGTGTCGAGAGCATTGGCATACACTAAAGTTTTTAAATATCCTCAAAAAAATCTAATGGGTAGAAATCTGGCGATCAAGAGTTCCAACCACGGGTCCTCTTCTTCCTATTGTCCGAATTGCGCGTTTAAGTGTTCTCGAGCAGCCTGGCTGAAATGGGAAGGAGCTCCATCATGCATGAACCACATCGCCAAGTTGTTTTGGAGTAATTCCAAATAAAGGGCCCCGGTCAACCTGTTAGGCAATACGTATGGTCCTATGACATGTCTGATGATTCCAGCCCATAGATGAATAGGTTGAAAATGGTGTTGATTGTGAGTCACAATACAAGCATGCGCATTTTCTTCTGCCCATAAATGCAAGTTATGGGACTTTATTGCTCCATGCTTAGAAAATCCAGCGTCGTTCGTGAACATAACTGAACCGACAAAGTTTGTATTTTTTCTGTGCATAAGTAAAAGCCGGTTTGAAAATTTCATCCTTCGTGGAAGGTTTCCAGGAAATAGTGCATGCACCTTTTGTAGGTGATAATGACACAATTGCTGTTCCTTAACGATCCTAAAAACTGTATATTTTTGGACAACGAAACAGGGCAATTAATTTCTTGACACGTATTGAAACATCTGCTTCTACCGCATTTAAAATATCTTCTTTAGCAACCGCATTGCGATTCTCTTTTGGCTTCCACAATTGTGTTTGGCTTTGGCAAACGTTCCTAAAATTATTTACGGAAGGTATTATTTCACCTACTCAAAAAGTACAATAATGCAAGTACAGAAATGTTTTGATTACCTGTCCCTTTCAAACGACGATCCACTTTTTCAAAAGTTTTTCTATCTGTTCGGTCGGATCTACCGTTCCTGATAAAGCCTTTTGGCGTCTACGGCATCACATGCTGCAAGTCCATACATTAAGTACATGTCAGCATATTTCGAAAATATAAATTCCATTACCGAAAAAAGTTGAATTTAAGAATAAGATCAACTTTAATAAGTTGCAAAAACTACCAAACTCTATCTTTAACTGTCAGACAGTGATAAATCACTTTTATCTTACTTTCGCACGTTCAAAAACCAACTAATAAATGACAAAAAACATTGCCCACCAATGCATGCATTAAAATCCGTATTTAATCGAAAATGTTTTCACCGTAAACCGTTCTGTTTATCGATATGAATCAAGAGTGTCTTTTTTGTTTAAGATTAAAGCTACCTCAATAAGTTATTTTAGTGTCTTCATTGTAAAGGGTAAAAAATAACTATAATTGCGTTCCACCTAGTCCATCCCTGGCAAACCAAAATGCTAAAAATGGTTTCATGGGTCATTTTTAAAAGTTTAACAGTATTCTAAAAATTGTTTTGAAAAAAGCGATTCTCAGGTGGTTCTTTTAGAGGCCTGTATCTCCGTAGGGAGGCCCTGTGGAATTTTTTTTACAGAAACTTGTTATGTCTTTCAAGATCCGCTGAACAAATTCGGAAGCAAACCCACATATTCCGGGACATCCTGAATCCTGTACCTTAAAAACTAGGACAAATTGTTTCAAGAATTAATTTACTTTATTTTTCGAATATATTAAGTCCCAATTTATGCCTTACATAGGGCTCCTCTAAGCCAGTGCTATAAGTTATTTCCGCAGCAAATAACATAGATTAAATTATATCGGCCACTAAATTAAAGCGTTTCTTGTTCTCCCAAGATAAGCTCCGGAAGAGGATGACTTACTTTACAAGGCTTACGTGACAAATTTGAGTTTTTGCACAACGGAGTTAAATTGTCAGTTCTTGAGAATATATTCTGGCGTTCAAACAAAAGTTCTGTTACTTGCGATATTTAAGCTCTGAATGTTTATCAACGTGGGGTTTGTGCGAAAAAAATGATTGGTGCATCAACTCAAGAAAAATCAGTTGATTCCAGAGTCCAAATAAAAATTTGTGGTAGTTTTTGCACCTAAACACAAATTAATTCCTCACTTTCCTAAAGCGGATAAACTCGCTTGGTTCATCAAAATCTGAGATTTACATATGTTCAAATTCACAGCCAGTTTTATTAAACTCCATAGTACCATTCTCCCGATATTTAAAAAAATAGACATTTTTCAAGATCTAATAAACTTCAGGTCATATGGTCTTCATTTGAGCCAAACAATGTTTCAGTACCTTTTTTATCATGCGCTTACGGGATACCCTGTCATCCAAATGTATTTAAAAGTTTGGAGAATCTCGGGAAAGGTTTTGGAAAAAATCTTTTGGTAAACAAATTTGATCTTGACTAAAACTTGAGTTGAAAAATACTGTTAATTTAAGTATTTAACTGACCCGGACGCTGTGATTTTTCGGGTATTTTTGAACACAGCTCATACGTCCGTACTAAACATTGCCTTTAAAGTATCCTCTATTAAAGCAGTTGTACCTGCTCGTTTTAGTTACAAACGTTTCCATAATCTTTTGAGTCAAGAAATTTCTTGGGAGCCAATAGTAGCGCTATAACCAGTAGCCAAAATGGGAATAAACCACGTTAAATCGTGGGTTTCACTTCTTTGTCAACAATGTTATTACTAAACTGACAACTTGTTCGCTTGCCAGCATTGTGAGTTAAGTGTACATTAGTTCATCATCAATAAGAATATGTTGGTGGAATATTCGTCCAAACAAGATATTGAACTGACATTATTTACTCTCATTCACACGTTCGACTAAAATGATTTGATAATTGGATGCCACTGAACCATAGTGATTTTTAAATTAATTTGACTTTTTACATAAATAATAAAAGGTGGTGTTTACAATTATGTTCCTCTTTGTAGACTTTAGTTTATATCTACATAAATATTCAGTTTATATGTACATAAATATTCAGTTTATATGTACAGAAAACTGGTCTTTTATCAACTGAGTTTTAGAAACGTAATATTAAATTAAACAGCTAAAAGTACTCATTAATTTCACAGTCAACCATATTATTTACATTAATTTTGACCCACAGTATTAGTGTTAAGTTTATTCTTGGAAAATATGAGTTGCTTAATAACAGGTTCTTGGGATTTTCTGAATAGATGAATATGCATTGGCGGTAGTTTGTACAGTATCTAAGACTGACAAAATATTTCCAATACCGACTATATTGTAATAGAATACTAATGGAATTGATTACAGAAAGGTGTTTCTTTATTACAAATTAATTTGTATTAACACATATTGTACATAGAAAATGTAAAGACGAGCAAAAAACTTATCTAAATTTTTTGAACACGATGGCATAAATACTATTTGTAGCGGAAGCAAAGAAGAAGCATTTTAGCGGTTCTTTGCCTATTAGCCAGTGCTGGAAAATGACCATTTTACAGTTTTTTTGTTTCCCGTAAAACTTTTTAAATTTTCGGAGTACACAGTATATGCCCATTTATATATCTGCATTGACGGACTGTTTGATACCTCGGGATGTTTTGTCGGCGCTTAACGCGACTTTATTTTAAATAGAAACAAACTAAAGTCTTCAATTCACTCGTGAAATCTACATTGCGCTCACTAACGTTACGTAAATACCTTCTGTTTAATTCGTAAATCTGCAAAGGTAACTGGTAAATATGACAGAGCGTTTTACTGACGGAACTCTAAGCCCGGCACGTTTAGTCGATCTTCGGCACTTTGCCGAAGATTGCTTTAGCTGGTAGCCGAGCGTGCCGCCGTCGACGCTACAGCGACGGGTTTTTGATGCAAAGCTTCGTTAGATGGAATCGCCGGCGATTTTCCCATTGAAGGAGCATTTGCAATAGGGTTTTTCTGGTGGCACCCGCCGTCCTCTTTTACGGTGATCTTATTAATTTACCGATGAAATTTCGGCACTGCTTACTGTTTGGCTAGCTCGTGAAGTCGTTTAAAAGTCGGCGCTTGAACGCCGCCAAATGCAGAAAAGATAAGCGCTTTCTCCTGCGGTTAGTTGCCTCGAAGGATGAGATATTGTGTACATAAATCGCAAAATAATAATTTTCTAAGAAAAGACGTATTAGCCGTGAAAGCCGTCATTAACGTTGAGAAAATCAACCACTTGATTCCGAAGCGTCTTTTCTAAACGTGGAAAAAATTTAATGCAATAATAACTTTGTTTAATATTATTATTATTTCAACAACACAACATACATACAAGCTTCAATTTTTTTCACCAAGCAGAGACGGACAATAAAATTCATTAAAAATATATATTATCAAAAGAACAGGAAGGCCTAGATTTGTAATTTGTTCCTGGTGATTGATTAATGATAACATTTAGCACAATTTCCTTTGAGAAACAAAATCGTTTTCTAAAATCGGCTTCAGTAAGTTCCTCTAAGATATTTTTTATATCTCGAATATACCTGAAAATAATACTATTATTATTTGTATTGCATATCACGCTTGTTGATATTTCCTTTACATACCTTTGTGGTATGTTCAAATCTAAGTCCAAGTCCAAGTTATCTCGATTAACACTGTAGAAAAAATATAGATCGTGCTCTATGTATATTTAAAACAAAAATAGTTTAAAACGCACGAGAAGATGATAACTTTCGCTCACAATAGCTTTGGCGATCGTTCGGAGATTCCTACACTCATCTCCCACAAATTCTCGCCGCATCGCCCAACAACACTAAAATGAACGTGCGTCAGATGCCTAACCGATCTGGACAACCAGAATTGCCGTCAGCGAGCGGCGGGAGACCGGCGCATCGTAAGAGATCGACTAAACCTACCGGCCTAAGTTTGCCAACTATCATTAGTTGCAAGATTTCAATGTTGTTTCAATCAAACTTTGGTTCTCACAATTTTCACATTCATTTTCTACATGTGTTTTCATACTTTTTAAAACTACAGCCAATTCAAAACCTCGTCCTTTTTAGAACCGACCTTTTTTCGCGATATGGATACTTTCGCATTAATAGAACTGCAAGCATGATTACAGACTTCCTCGATCAACCATTGCCATAGAGTGCTTTTAGAAGTTTAAGTTGATAGAAATCCTAGAAATTAGTGCTTGTTTGGGTGTATTAGATTAAAAATGATCTCAGTCGTTCCTCACGAGTTTAGGAGAGCATCCCATCACAGATAAGGCAATTTCTTTCCAGTCTCTCGATTTGTTTCATTTCTCTGTAATGACCTCTCCTTGGCCTCTTTTCCACTGTATCAGCATAATTAGATTAGGTCGGTTCTAGTAAGCGACACGCTGGTTCGCTACCGTCTGCCAAGTGAGACTTGGAAGGGCAAACTTTTAAAATTAACTACAAATGTAACTTCAACATAAAACGTCTATCGGCTCTCTTCATCTTTATAGATGCATCGCTGCCACGATGATTTTCAAGAACAAATTGTAGAAATCTATTATATCTATTTTGTAGTGGCCAATTAGGCCTAATCTATAATCAAAAGGGATGATGCTGAGTTTGAGTAATCCATGTGACATTAAACTTTAATTTTTAAATACTTTTTGAAGTAAGGTGCCAACAAATAGCTACTGATACTCTCGTTAAACCGGACATACCTACTATGAATGGCATCAAGTACATTACTCTTCATACGGCCCTTAAACCCTGACAAAATCACCTTTTGTTTTCCAACTGGGTTCTCCGTTTGGCTATTTTACTGATGTCTCTAGTCTGCATCGTTTGCCCGTCACTTATTTATCATATGATCCCACGACCATAAATTGCTAAACACAGACGTTATATTCAAGTAAACGAACTGGGTATGTCCTTACAGATTTTTGTGCAAAGTAATAGTTTAATTAGTCCCACCTCAGCCTTTCTGGCTAGCCTGAGTTTAAAAAATTGTGACATCTAAAATTGTATTATAAATTCTGGCCCTACCAGATGATGAATAAAGTGTTCTCTGATTCTGAAAGCGTAGGATCATGATGTTAGCCAATGCCGCAAGCAATAGAAGTAAATTATCGAACCAATTTCAAGTATGTCAATTTTTGTTTAATTCCTCACTGTAGTGCGCAAACAAATTATAATCTTCTATGTGAATAACTCAACATGAGACCACATAGTCAAACATTAAAAGCGCTTTAAAAATATAAATAGTTTTGAAATTGACAAAACCAAGTTTTAACTTGAAGCATCAACTTGTGCACTGACACTAAACATTTTATTACCAGCCTCCGACCGGCTAGAATTTATTATTAAATACGATGAAAAATAAACCCGTTAAATCTGAGCAATAATTGACCATAGCGCCAGTCATAACTATTTCCGACGATCTATTCTACGCCGAATACACTTGCAGAATAATACATATATCCGTTAAAAATTTCTGGGATACAATGTGACAATATACCACTATGCAACAACGTCACTACGAGAAAAGGTTTTGGTGTTAAGACGTCGTTATTGCGAACTTTTTGTGAGTAAAAGCTCCAAAAAGGAATTTAGTAGCGAAGATGCAGAAAGCCTGTTTCATGTAATCTTTTTGCTTTTGCAAGTGTTCGCAATCAAATCGCTCTGCCAATATTTTTTGTCTGGGGCAAGGTTAATGGCGTTTTCATGTAGTAGATAAATTTGACAAACAATTTAACTATGGAAGTTAAGTATCAGGCACATATGCTTGTAAAATGCAATTTACATCGGCCATATACCATCTTTGAAGATATCGACTTAGTAAATACATGGAGAAATAAAATTCACGTTATTTATCAGAGATATTTAAACCCTGGAGCCACATCACCATCAGCCAGACGAAAACCAGCCTTTTTGTCTTTTAGGCCTTCAATAAAAATCAAGTAGTTGCACAGTGAAAGTGAGACCATTTAGCTCAATGACTGCACAAACTTCTGAGCGCACTCAACTCGAATATTCCTGCAAGTGGCCGCCTTCGCCGCAATGAGCGGAGGCGGAGGAGAGTTCAAAATCCCCGAGGTTCGCCTTGGGCCTCCAGAAGGAGGAAGTCACCTCTTGGTTCCTCCATGTCCTCAACCTCGGAGGCGACACAGCTGGATTTGTAGGTAAGCGAAAATCGATCAATGTAATTTACTTTTCTTCAATTGCCATTCAGGCCTGATAATGAACCAGAAAATGGGTTTTGCATATAGTTTTCTATAATTTGCATATTCACGTCCAACCGTTAGAATTTCTTTTTGAAAATTTAACCAGATGCAGTAAGAGGAAGCTGTCCTTCCTGGGAAAGAATAACTGATGGGAAACTGGTAAAAATAAATCCGTAAAGTTAATTTTTTCAGAATTTTAAAGTAAATAGTACAAAGTGCTTTGCTTTGTTCAATCTCTCTCAGACAGCATACATATTGGATTTAGTTCAACACCGGGCAGAAATGGAATACATCCAATTGATGACTAAGCAAAATCCAGCTATCCAAGTGATAGAACTTTCATTAAAATGTTAGTGCCTAATTTTGCAGAAGATACCTGCGGGCGTTCTTTTTTGAATTCAACTAATTTCATATGAAAGAGATTTGCATTAAGAGTATCCTTAGTGTATTGGCGAATTTTCCTCTTCGAATAGAGCCTTGAATATTTTTAACATAAATTTCATAATTCAGCACAATCGAATAAATTGAAACAATGTTTAAGTGAAACGAAATAAATACATTTCGATCAAGCAAAATGCTTGCTTATGCTAAGTACAATATGGCAAAGAAAACTGATTTAAATGAAATAAGCAAAGCTTCAGATATGCTAGAAAATTATTAGTCGAAATTTGAATTGACTTAAGGTTTTTGGTCCACAGCTCGAAATCGTGTAAGTTGGATTTAATAGGCTTTGCTTAGTTGCTGAAATGACCCTCATTCGCAGAGTAAAAGAAAACTGTCATTTGTGTTCCTAATGTAGTAATAGTTGAAGATTCAGTTTCAATTAGGAAATGAACATTTTTTTTCTAGTAGACTACCCATCGATGGGCCATAGGCCACAAATTTGGTTACACCTAGAGACCCCTGAAAAACGTAGGTTTTTAAAATATTAGCCCAAAATCAGTGGCAAAACCATACACAGATGTAGAAAGCTTGCAAGAAATAACGCAACTTGCTGAAAAATTTTGTTGTTGTAAGATTTTTATTTCGAACGAAAAATTGTTAAACGTACAACAATATTCTTCTTCATCATCATCATACTTCTTGTTGATCTGTTAATTCTGAAGCTGCCGCTGCATCTTTTCCTGACAGGCAGATTGCCAACTATATCTCCATCTTTCAGCTGGCCTCATCCGTGTTGTGTTCTAGGACTACTTTCGGAAGTCTTTTCTAGTCCATTCGTCTTACATGGTTGTACCACTGCCTCCTACGTTTTGTTCCCCAACTCACAATATCTTGTATTTCACATTGTTGTCTGATATCTGTGTTCCTTACTCTGTCTCTTCTTGTTTTCCCACTATTGTTCTCAGTGTTTTTATTTCGGCCACCCTTAGCATGCGTTTCGTATTGTTGGTGTCTTCACGGACTTCTGTTCCGTACGTCAGGATCGGTCTGATACAAGTCTTGTAGATTCTCATTTTGCTATCTTCGCGCATGTACCAGTTTGACCAGACTATATCTCGTAGGCATCATAATAGTGGGGATGCTTTGTTAATCTGGCTCCTCAGGCCTTTGACTCGGTCGTGGGTGCTTGGTACGTCTAGGCCCAGATATCTGAATTGCATCACTTGTTCTATGGGATTCTCCTTCACCACTAGCTGACATCTGAGCGGATCTTTCGCTATGGTCATACATTTGGTATTGTTGATAAAAATGATCATATTGAGTTAGCGGCCTGCTTGGAAGAACTGGAGCAGTTGTCTCTGTAGGTTTTCTGATCCGGCAATAATTGCTGCATCATCGGCGTAACACACCATACCAATTCGTTTGTTGCCCAGTCTGTATCCGACGTTAAGATCTGTCACTTTATTTCTAATTTTACTCATAAGAAGATTAACCTAGAAGGGACTTCAACAAGAAGGCTGTCACCCTGTCTAATTCCTCCCTGTCTTGGGATGTTTTCAGTAAATTCATCTCCTGCGTTTGCCGCTTGCTCTTTACCTTTGTTACGTTATTGTTATTTAGGTTACGGATTATATTTGTTATGTTCGCCGGTGCCGTATTTTCTATTGATATATGAAGAATGTCTAACGCCATTGTGAGGCCAATGAAGCAAATATACACTGGCAAGCTGCCCTATATATCCTTTCTTTTATTTGTTTTATTATGAATACTGGATCTGTTATTGACCGTCTCTTTGTGAAGTCCTGTTGTGCGTCAGCACTCTTAATTTGGGTTTCCAGTTTGTTCTTCAGAATACTCGTGAATGGTTTCATTGTCGTATTTAATAGGGTTGTTCCTCTATAGTTTTGTGAGCATGTTTTTACTCCTAATCCCGGGTAATTTTGTGTTTTTTAATTTCTTGAGTTTTGCTTCAATTTCTTTCTCAGTGACTTATATCTGTTTTGTATTCGTTTATATTCAACGTTGCTTCAGCATTTCTATTGGCACCACCATACATTTTCCATACCTTAGTAGTCCATGACCTCAGTAAATTTAGGCCAATGTTCTCTATTGATTGCATTCTTGCGTTTTCTGATTTGACTGATCAACGACAGATTGATTTGATTTGATACTCTGTTTCTTATCTGGACATATTCTGCATGAGTTGCTTCCGATGACACGCTTTTGAATGTTAGATAGCATTTCCGTTTTGATTCAAAGAGTTCTTTTACCTCTTGACATAACCATGGTTTGGTGCGGTTTCTTCGCGTTCATATTAATTTTTCGCTTTACGATCGCTTCC